CAAAAGACACGGGTCAATTTATGCACGATCGGAGAATGCCCTATTTTTCTGCAAATAATATATTATGATTCATACATTAAATAAAATACAGTGTAATCCACCAGTATCTTAGTTCAACATAACTATTCAATAATATTAATAATTCAATAATACAAAAATTATTAATAATAGATAGGTAACTCATTTACAGAACAAAAACATGTTTTTTTTTTCGAAAATCCCAATTCAGCATAAGTTAATCAAACATTTAAATTAATAGTCTTTATTGTTATAGCGTCTAAGCTGATTTTCCTTTTTCCTCCGATGAATGGATTTTACACAAACTAATCCAATTTACAAAACGGTTAATTACGGTCGGTTTAAAGAAAAACAAGTCATTGTTTCCTTATTAAAATGTTTTTGACTACAACGGCGCGAATATTTGTGGCTATACAATTGAAATAAACCTTCTAGAATTGGTTAATTACCGCTTTTGCATATCTACACTGACTGACAACACAAGCAATCACGAATGTCAACGTTCTCAAGAGTAATAGGTAGATAGTAATAGATTCGAAATAAAGGCAGCGGCTTGGCTCTGTCCCTGGCATTGCTGAAGTCCATGGGCGACGGTAACCACTCACCATCAGGTGGGCCGTATGCTCGTCTGCCTACAGGGCAACAAAAAAAAACTACGGCACTCTTCGCGTTCACGTTCCACGTTTTGTAGGTACTTTTTAATATTAATGACTTTTATACCGTTTTTACAAGTCTTAATGGATACTAGTGGTCCCGCAGTAGTCGAAATTCGACTGTAATTAATTAGAATTGTAAGTTTGTACACTATTATGATTGTATTCTATACTTCTATAATCACAAACTTCGCCAAGGCTACACTATAAAAAAATATTAATAAAGACAAACAATATTTAATCTATTCTCAATTTGACCACAGACGTCAAGAACAAAAGTTTGACAATAAATACTATGCATGCGTGTGTGCGTCAAATATATGGTATGTAGTGTGTGTAATGTTTTCTTTATTGATTTAATGTATCTTTTATGCATTATTTAAAAAAAATATTAGCATTGTGCACTTCTTCTCTATATTCTCTATAAGTGTACAAAATTTCATACTCCTCCGTCCGCGCAATTTTCGTAAAAAGGGATACAAAGTTTTTGCTGTACGTATTAATATATAGATAATTTAAACTATTATTACGAGATAAGAGTAATCCGTGAACTACGATAACTGCAAAGTATTCGGAACGTTGGAAATAACATAATGACAATAAAAAATGCGACATTTAACCTTTTACGATTCAACACGTTGACGGCCGCGTAGGTCACCGGTGCCCCACGTGGCGCACTAAAGTAATTATGTCGATTTCTCTCTTCGATCTTCTTACTAAGGCGCCGGAATATCTAATAGACTCTAGGAAAGACGAATCCGAAGATACTAAGAAAAATATATTAAAAACACAAGAAGGCAAAGTTAGGTAGCGCTTAGTAACAGAAATCGACGTAATTACTTCAGTGCGCCGCGTAGGGCACCGGTGACCTACACGGCAGTCAAAGGGTTAATTATTAATGACTTACAGAAAATACAATAAATCACAACAAGAAATTAAATTTTGCAAAAATTGTGACTTAGTTCTTCAACCCTACCCTCCCGCTTGCCTTCCAAGCGACAAAATTACACCATATTTATTAATAAAACATAAATTATGAGTAACCGATTTAGCAGAACCAGGAAAATGAGGTTCCGTTTTAATCAGGACAAGACATTCCTAGAATTAGAAACCAATAATTGAATCTCTCACGTAGTATAATACAAATTTGCGCTAATTTTCGTCGCTGTTCATAAATACCAAAAAAAATTAAAAGTAATTGTAATTTAAAAAAAAATACTGTCTGCACTGCTCCGTATGACAAACACATTGCATGCTACCTGGCACGATATACGTTAATGTCTAAGTAATGGATTCCGTAAATGTAAATAAGTACATTTGTACATATATATTTACATAAACACTGACTCATCAATAAACGATTGTAAACGATATTTGTTTTTGTAATGTGTGTGTTTGTGTGTGTGTGTGTGTGACGTAAATTTTAATGGCTTCAAGCCTTTATAGAATGTTCTCACGTGCATATGTGTGTATCAAAAGCTTCAAATATTATATAGTAAATATCTGATAGTTTAGGACATTAACTCCTTACGTGAGCCGCGGTGGTGGGGAGTGTTCTGAACAAGTGAAGGTTCGTTTTTACCACTATGCTAGTAGCCATTTCGGCTGCGAAGGAACCTTGAAGCCGTGTATCAAAGCAATGGAAATTGTACCTTATGCTGAGGCCCAACGGCTGATGTAGTTACTATGCACCATTAAATGAACCGTGAGCTCGTCTAACAAACTTAGTCAATATAGAACTTATATACACAAGAAGAAAAACGTATACATTTATATGTAGAAATCACTTTTCATTCTTTAAAGCCGGTTAGATATCAATGCATTTTGTAATAAGATACACGGAAAATTTCAGCATACATAAACAAATTGACCAACATACCTACGTCTTGTGAACCAATCGTGCCCTCAAAATATGAAGCGGAATCATTAGCAATTCTAATTAGCAATGAGACCATCGGCCCTCGTTAACGGTAATTGAATGATGTATCTGTTCACGTTTTAGTCAATTTTGATAATTAATTATCTACTGTAAAAGTTTTCAAAGAAACAAAACAAAATAGCATTGTGTTTATGAAGAAAATAAAGATTTTCTTATCTAATTAGTGTAAAATTTCGCGTTCAATTCAACGCGTTCAAATGCTTGTATGCCACCTTCGAAATTAGGCAAAGGGGCATATCTAAGTTGAGGTATTATAACCGAGGGTATCGCCTCTTAGTTTAAATCTCAAAGCCATTAAAAGTATACGCTAATGCATACAAATGTTACGTACACGAGTGTTTGATAGTTTTTTATTGTTTAAGATGGATGGACGAGCTAACGGCCCTACCTGGTGTTAAGTGGTTACCGGAGCTCATAGACGTCAGCAAGTTAATAAACTAGAGCGGCTCGTCCTTTAGGCCTATTTATTTATTGAATACCAATAGCACAAACTGAAACAGCCTTCATCAATTAGCTAAATAATCTAAAATCGATGACTTGTCACCACAACATATTCGCCACATAAAAAGTTACTATAAAAAAACGGCGATGACATGTTCGATCGCACTCCGCTTTCATCACCGATGCTAATAAACGGGCAAACAAAGAAACGCTATATATTATCAAGACTCATTACAGTGTTCATAAGCTTTCGTTCTGGGAACTCGACGGGCAAGATAGCGTTACCCCGCCGGCTTTCCAATCCAAATGTTTTGAGAACACAGACACTTCTACTTCTAACCGATGCACCAAATATGTTTTGATAGCAACGAGGTCGATTTACGGAGCTAATCACAGGTAAAGAAAAGAGAAAAAAAAACAGATGCCGTACTGTAAATATCTTATCGTACTAGGAGACTTTTAACATCAGATAAATTGAATTGGATGCAGGAGCTAGTCACCGTCCTTGCCCACCCGATCCACTCTCAGTACTGTTGAACTTTATTGGTAGCAGCAACTTATTTTTAATTGCTTTGATGGGTGGACGAGCTCACAGCCCACCTGATGTGAAGCGGTTACTGGAGCCCATAGACATCTACGACGTAAATGCGCTACCCACCTTGAGATATAAGTTCTAACGTCTCAAGTATAGTTACAACGGCTGCCCCACCCTTCAAACCGAAAAGCATTATTGCTTCACGGCAGAAATAGGCAGGGTGGTGATACCTACCCGCGCGGACTCACAAGAGGTCCTACCACCAGTAAAAAGTAATGCACTGGTCCATGAACTCGCCGAAGAGTTAGAAGACCTAAGCGCATAGCATCAGCCCATTCATTTCTCGCCTGATCTTCTCGGGGGTCTCGATTCGAATCCGATGGCGTGCCCTCGTAAAGCAACCGTCCTTAAGCTGTTAAGCCTTCTGTAGAGTGCTCGGGCAGCTGTTAGCATTGCACTCCTGACTGAGCCAAGAGTTCGTCCATTTCTCCCAGAGAAACGGCAGAATCTTGCCATAATCATAAATTAAAAAAAATAGGTCAAGACCTATACAACGTTCTCGAACAAATTCGAATTTAATTAGTTTTTTTTTTTTTGTGAAGCATTTCAATAACATACACAACTGAAGATCTTAAAATCAATGAACATAATTTATAAATCGTCACAATAATTATTTAACCCAACAGATATTTATTTATGACATAATTTACAGTTTTATTGATTGTTTACTTTGTAATAGTTTGTCTATGGTGGCGTTGGCGTTCATTAAATTTATGAAAGCCGGTCATTTAAGCGTGCACTGGCCACTTGATACGATAAAAGGTCGGGACCCTGAATACAGGATGTCTCCTGCATAATGGACTCCTTTGTCTCTACTCGTATTTCATAAACGATTACATTAAAATTGTTAGGATATAAATGTAGATTATTTTTTTTATGCTTGTCGTAAAATTTTGTAATGGAATATACCATAAATCATAATCATTCATAATCGGAATAACTAGTTTGTTATAATACGAGAACATTTTAAATATGTTTTTTAAAGAAACATTACCCATGTATTTAATATATTCGTTGGTACATTCTATAACAACACGATAATTTAATTATCAAACAATTAAACAAATACAGTTTAATTTAAGATATTAAATATAAACTACAAGCTCATTTAAAACTAAATTGATTTATTAAATAGAACAATCCACATAATATGGATATCCACGAGCTGTTCTTATCAGTGAGTTCTAATAACGCTAATGTGTTTGTCATAACGCTTAGAAGCGCGCCCCACAGTTCACTGATGTTCGGTGGTCAATGTTTGTGAAGACTAACCGGATTGAGTCACATTCTGCGTCATAGATAATGACTCACAAGTTACGCGCTCTCTCACATTAAAAACTTTATTTCCCCATAGGTGCTGCCGGCTATTGAATCATCGAGATCCTGATGGTCTGGTCCGTGTGAAGCGCACGTACGGACCACGCGTCCATTCCACGACACTGCCTGTGATCCACTCCGATGTGAAAAAAGAAATTCGCGACGAAGAACAAATGAAGTATAATCTAATTATTATTATTTACGTAGCTTAGTTTTGTATAGTAGTGTGTAGCGCATATTTTAATGCCTCTGTGATATTTAAGATGATTGGCGGTCGTGTGTGTGAGTCAGCGTACCTATAAGTTTTCTTTGGTTCGTAATCTAATGGTAAACACGGCCTTTACGTTGCTTGATATGTTTACGTAATTTATGTAATAGCGACACTCATACGCCCGTAGTTAATGTAAGCAAAGATTAAACAATCATAACAGTCATCGGTCGGCTGAAATCGATCTAGAAATCATTATAAATTGGACCGTTTATTTTGAAAGTGGTGTAAGTCCATTTTTGAGAAAAATGAGCTATCACGCTTAATTCATGCTTAATTTAATGTAATTTTTTTAAATATAACTAGTCCATGTTTAATTTCTCAAAAAAATCCCATGTTTTGTACAATTTAAAATCGGTCGGTAAATGAAATTGCATAATCATCGATTATGGAAGTGGTGTAAGTACAATTGACAGAGGTAGGTGGCACAGCCAGACCTCATATGATTTTCCTGTATTTTTAAATCAACAAATATAGTAACCTTTAATTTTCTCGAAACATAAGAAAATGGACTTACACCACTTTCAAAATAAACAGTCCAATTAACACCAAACAATTTATCGTTCGCTAACTTGGTTCAATTTGAAATACGTATCGAATCATAAGCAGGTGCTTAAACAGAAGGAATGTAAAAACCCGAACTGGTTGGTCGCGGATGAGAAGTACCTTTGCAATGATTACGATGTAATTTATGTTTGTGGGCGTTACGGAGCCGTGGGTAGATTCATTCTGCCGACCACGCTCGGTGACTAACGGTTTCCCTTTGACACGGAACGAATCAAATATTGTAATATTCAACGATGATCGCCACTTTTATAATTATTTATTGTGTTTGTTTGTTTGTTTGTTAGTGTTAAGACAACGTTCAAAGGAACGATAGACCTGATCTGTTCCTAAAAGGATTAAGTGAAAAATGTTGATTTAAAAAAAAAAAAAAACAATATTGCCTGTTTTCCTGTTGTTTGAATGTTACTTGCTCAACTTCCATCATTTATAATAGGAAAATTATTGCATTTATTTATAATGTCGCGTCATCAACAACTGTTCAATGTTTCCATTAACTACATAACCCTTGGTGCAATAATAATTGGCGTTAATACATTTTTTTTTAATATGGCAAAAGGTTTTTTTGCCGATGCCATAATTACCAACTGCTCATTTTATAGGTTAAGTATGTTATGTTCCAACAATGCTTAGGATACAGCTACAAATTACATATAAGATACAACTAAACGGTTGCATGCGTTCTATAAATACTAATAATAACATTATTAATACACAGCGAAGTTCATGCTCTCTTAAATTGTACTAATTGAAATTGTTAATACAAAGGAATCGAAGCTGTAAAACTGTTTTCGTCATATCGGTTATTGAATTGAAAACTTACAAATTGAACGATTTAATCACAATTCTATCGACATCCACAAAATCACAAAAAACTGTATTTTGTGAAACATAGCGTCAATATTTTGATATGTTTTGTTTATACGTTTTATCATTTATTATACATATTTAAGATAATTAATTTTAGGTTGTAAAATATCATTCTTTTGAACTCAAAGTTTGATTACCTACTTTTAGTATTACTTCACATTCACACACAATACTGAGTAAAACATAGGCTATGTACTTCCCTTAGCGTTATTATTTTATTTTTAATTTAGTATAGACGTATTACAATTCAATTGTATTCTGATTTACGGATCTTAATTTATTAGTTAATAAAAACTATTAACATCACATTACGGTATAAATAATAACCTCTCGTTAAATTTAAAAATGATTGATTAGATGATTTTTCTATATATTTCTTACGATTTTCTAACTTGAACTGTCTAATTGTTAATTTAATAAATACGTGTAGATACAAAGAAAACTTGAACAAATGTGTTCAAAATGTCTTTCAAGTAATATAACATGAAAATGTATGTAAAAGAACAAGTTTATCAGAAGCATAGGCCCTTCCAATTATACGGCGCCTTTTCCACTTTTTTTTACAATAAATATTCTGTCTAAAATTTTACAATGGTTTGCCCGAGTTATTTTATATTACATATAAAGATATTTATCATTGAATTTATGGACATGGACTCGATCATAACCGAATATATTCACGTATTTTCGATTCTGTAAATTCAGCTTACACAAAAACAATTACTGGCAATCTTGCAGCGAATTTGTAAGCAATTCCAAAGAGTATATTAATAACGTAAATCGATTAATTTCTGTAACGTACTAAATTTCACCTTACCTGCGACTAAAAACCTGGTCACGGAGGCTCCGGATTTCGGACTGCAACACCCAGTATGACGATGTAAAGATCTCTTTGTTAGGAAACAACGTCCGTGGATTGCGATCAGAATATCGATGTAAATCTATACCAATTGTTATAATGATCTGCTTATTGTAATTATTAAGAGAATTTTGTATTTTTTGTAAATTTGTAACATGTATAGTAGTTAGCTAGTCAATAAAAAATGTAAAGTATACGTAAATAGTTTTTATTGAAACCCAAACCAAACGAATTTAAAAACCAATCTCCACGATATAGAGATTTTATTTATTTATTGCTTAGATGGTTGGACGAGCTCACAGCCCACCTGGTGTTAGGTTACTGGAGCCCATAGACACCTACAACGTAAATGCGCCACCCACCTGGAGATATAAGTTCTAAGGTCTCAAGTATAGTTACAACGGCTGCCTCACCCTTTAAACCGATACCTATTTTCAGTATTTTAATTTATACGTTCATAAAATGTAACGCATAAATTTTATCAGAATCGTCCCAAAACAAGATCTGTGACTATGGACTCACTGAGAGACGCAGTTAATTATCGCCCCGGACTGCAGTCTCAAGGGTTCGATACCCAAATCGCAAGCCTCTTCATATTTTCCCTAAATTCACGATTTGCTGCTATCGGAGCTCTTTGAACAAGGAGCGCGGCAGATCGCGAGCCGCTTATTACTGCCGCCTTTTTGAATGGCAGAACAAACTTTATACAAACGAAAATTCGGCCTCATATCTCAAACTAGGTGGCGGCGTTTACGCTGTTATGTATATAAACTTACCAACATCAGGTAGTGTGAATTTTGTTTATGACCAACAAAACATTAACGTACCTCATCTCCAACTTCACAATGAGATTGAAGTGGTCCCTGCACTATAAAGGCTGTATCAATTTCGTCACTGCAGATCTGACGCACTGACAGAAACAATAACCGTTGAATACCTATGTACTGATTTTCATTTTATTATTACTTATTTATAATGTTCAGCAAAAGACAATAGGCAGCGGCTAGGCACTACCAGGCAGCGTCCCTAGCATTGCTGACGTCTATGAGCGACAGTTACCATTAAAAAGGGTCCGTTTTCACAGGCTGGCGCGAAGAGCATCGGCCCGCTTTTTTCTTTTTACCCAGACCGGATCGTATATTTGGAATTGGCCGGAGCGAAGTAGCCAACTATTTCACACAGACCGGCTGGAAGAGATCTAAAAGCGGACGCGCTCGCAATTGGAGCCGATCAACTACGCGAGCGAGAAAGAGCGCGCAATATTAGCCGGTCGGTTCCTCATACTATTTCACACGCAGCGCGTTCAAGCATTCTTAATGACAAAAATTGCACATGCAAAAATAAACTTTACTACAATTACTCAAAACTCTGTTTCCAAAGTGATAAAAATTGCTCTCCTCTCCGAGCCGGTCTGTGTGAACGGACCCTAACGCAGGCCGTATGTCCATCTGCCTACAATAGCAGAATGTAAATTAAACATACAAACACACACACAAAAGGAAAATAAACAAGCAATGTCCAAAATTAAATAACTTCTTTTATTTCATAGTCAAATTTGTTTCTCTACAATAACGTGTTAGAAATTACGGAGACGCCATTACATCAATTGACGAATTACAATAACGTGGGCGCCGACGGCTGTACCCGTGCACGACTGTCGACAACGGGGTGCGGGGGAGAGGAGGGTTGGGGGCGGAGTGTGGATGCCTCGTGACGTCACGCTGCGGACGACACGTTCCGAGGAGACCGTCAACAGAATTTATCAAAATCCTGATACAAGTCGCGAGTTACTCATAAAGCCGGTACGCGTTTGATAAAACAAAACGACTGCTCGAAACGATCGGCCGCACCGACACAGTGCACTGACCAACAGTACTAACACAAGACTAAGTTTTCATCAATTAATAATAATAATATAGTTGTTTTTTTCATATATATATTAACTATGCAAATGTGATCACAAATACCCATAAACCGAACGCCTTTTTGCTATCTCTCTCTCTCTCTCTCTTTCTCTCTCTATGAAGTTACAGCGAACCGTTAACAACAACAGACACGACACAGCTCCGACGTCAGACCGACGCGCCTCGTTCCAACACCTAACGTTCGAACACCCTAATTTTAATCAATAATCAACAATCATCGGCCACATCTAACACTAGGACGCTCCTATCAAGTGGAAAAATATTATTCTCGATCCTCCGTACGAATTAAACGAATTAACAATTCTAGTTTCACACGTATCACGCGTGTGATTGTGAGAAACTTAAAATGATAATACAGTTCAATGAATGGGCTTAGTGCCAGTTTTTTAACGTTCTCGATAGCGTAAAAGTTAGCTTATATTTGTATGGAATGGGATCGTTTGCGTACGTTTGCCGCTAGGGGCGCTGTTCCAACTGCATACAAAATTGGCTTAACTTTTACGCTAGCGAGAACGTTAAGAAACTCGCACTAAGCACACAGGTATCGACGGCCGGGAAACGAAGACTCGACTGATTACTGGTTCATACAAATCAATAAAATGTATTTATAGTCCGATCAAAATAGACATTCATCACTTCATGAATTCCGAAAAAGGTGAATTTTCGAAAGAACTTTAAATTAAAAAGAAATTCTGAAAAGACTCTTGATTCCACGCGTCCAAGGTCACCCCTATATTTCGGGTCAACTTGACGGGATTATTAACCAAACAGGTTTGTACTCCGATAAAATCAATAATGATTCGAATAATTATGATCATCAAATTCTTCAACATTTTAAACACACATTATCCCATCACTGATGTCTCAATTAAAAGTAACTCAACAATCAACTGAAATTTTTACAACTTAATTTATATCGTATTATTTAAATATCGGTAATAATTTTTTTTTTCTAAATCAAGAGGACTCGTGTTGGATCGTCTACATCATGCATTCTTAGACGAGTGACGTCATATGACGTTTTGCAATTACAGATTATACAAGTCTTAGCTTCCCGCCGCCTCACTCAAAGACGAACTACCCTCCGTACTCTATATAAGAACACTTCATAAAACAGCTTCTCTTCATATTATTATTTATACTACACAATTTACAAATTTAAGTTTATACATATTTTATTTTATACACATCAATCATAATTGTTTCTGTAGTCTTCATTACAATATAATCTATGTTATATATTATTCTCCAGATTGCTAAATATTGTCACATATCAAGCATATTTGTTTAATATGACACACCAAGCGCTTAGCGGTGCCGCTTAGTTAATTATTTATCTCTTTACATCATCAAAACACCTTAATATATATAATTAAAATCGTAACATTCAAATTAATATTGCAATTTAGAAGGAAATAATGAAATAATGTATTATTAAAGAAACAAATTCACAGAAAGCCGGCACGTTTTCAACACACAAATATAGTGCTCGTAACAAATCAAAAAATAATAATTCTATAAATGCTGACAATATTGTCTTTTCTCTGGAATGACGCTTAACGATTTTTCATTTCTTTTTTTTTTCTTTTTGTATATTTTATATCCTTCATACATAACATTTTCAAACATCTTAAAACCTTTAAGAATACTTTAGAATTTTGACGACCCGATATCACATCACAATCATATTATAGAACACACACAAAAAATCAAAAATTTTTATCGTACCTCACATTGGAAGAAATTCATTAAAATTTAGAATGAAAGAATGGTATACTTATGGCATAAACATTGGCTACGTACAAATGTCAGAAAACATTATGAACAAACAAAACATACGGCAGCCGCGTTAAGATAAATCACGACACAGTTTAGTTCGTAACGAAAATGTCGTCGAAGAATCGATATACCACGAAATAATGTTACATTTAAAAATACAATAATTTTGTGTACATAACAATAATTACAAATAATTATAAATAATTACAAAATACAATAATTTTGTTTGAACCGTGCCATTAAAATTATGATGTCATTCTAATAAAATACGGTACAAAAGAATAAAACACGAACAAATAACCGTTCACGAAACCCAAGCGGTAACAGTAGGCTACCGAAAACAATATTTACACGATTAGCTAACTAAGCATCAAATATAAAATATCGTTTCAGCAATTACATAATTCGTAGAGCCGCAATCGAATGCGAAGTTGGCTTCGGGTCATTGACCCGTACGTTAAAATTGTATTTTATTATTTTATCCATAATTATGGACATGCAAACGGGTCTCAGTCTGGCCAACCCTCCAAAGTCAATAAGTACTCCGAATTCAAATTTCGAACGAACTCAACGTGTCCTTTCCGCTATTTATATCCAACCGAACAGACGGAGAAATGTAATGCAAAATGCACGGAACGATACCGACAACGCAAGCTACGTACCTCTAGGTGCGAACGCTAAGTAACTAACTATTTAATTTCGACATTCAACACTAAGGGAGCACTGTTACAATGCAAACAACTAAAGTGCTCGTACAACTCGGCAATGAACAACCAATACAATATTTACATAAATAATAAACGAATCTATAGTTTAGTAACCGCATTAAGTAATCGTTAATTAAAAATATATATTTTTTCGGTTTTTTTTTTGTTTTTTAGTTAAACTATGGCATTGCAACTTTGTGACTGGGTTGCGGCTGCGCACGTTCAACCCCTAAACGAAATTAATAAAAAAAAAACAAATCGTGAAATCATACAACATCGAAATATATGACTGAACGTATTCAAACTATTGTATAGTTACAAATATTATTAAAAAAAAAAAAAATTCAAATTAAAATTTAATAAAATTTACATTTACTTACAAAAAATATTAATATTTTCCTTTCGACGCTACTTTATATTGAAGAGTTAACTCGAATAGCGTTAAGACTTTTTTTTTTTAGAATAGTGAACGTTATTCCGTGAACAATAAGGCATATATACGTGTGACCGGCGCGTGTGAAGTGCGACCGCTACAAGCGCCATTATAGATCCCTGAAACAAACAGAACAATAATATATAGCATATAATATAATAAAATTGACATAATTCACTCTTTATTAACTATCTATGTAATCTCTGTATTCCATTTTTATTTGCTTGTAAAAACTCTAACCATTAATAAAGCACTAGAGGTCCCGCAGTAGTCGAAATTCGACTATAATTAATTGGAATTGTAAATTTGTACACTATTATGATTGTATTTTATACTTCTATAATCACAAATTTCGCCAAGGCTACTCTATAAAAAATATTAATAAAGACAAACAATATTTACTCTATTCTCAATTTGACAACAGACGTCAAGAACAAAAGTTTGACAATAAATAGTATGCATGCGTGTGTGTAATGTTTTCTTTATTGATTTAATGTATCTTTTATGCATTATTTAAAAAAAGTATTAGCATTGTGCACTTATTCTCTATAAGTGTGAAAAATTTCATACTCCTCGGTCCGCGCAATTTTCGTAAAAAGCCATACAAAGTTTTTGCTTCACGTATTAATATATAAATATTGACACAATGCAATATTAAAATTTGTTCACAAAAATTGGGAGTTGTAGTTGATTTAATTTCATGCCAGAGAGTACTGTGCATATTTCATTTATTAGGTATTTAATTATTATCTTGTTAAAGTATTCCCTACCTATTAAAACTTAAAATATTTTTAACTTGTATCAAATAAACAATTAAATTAAAAATTAAAAACTAAATTAAACATTACACTAGAAAATTTCTATTTTCTTTCAAAGAGCGCGCAATGTATTTAATAAACTAGTTTTAACTTCACGTGTGACGTCATTAGCAAGCAAAATTATGAGCGAGATAGCCATCATGGAATAATCATTATAGTCCAACCATTAGCGACATGTGATATGATGGGCTGTGATTAATATTAAAAAAAAACCTTGCATTAATTGAAAACGAAACATTCTTTACTGTAAAAGAAAAGGTTTTTTTAGATGCCGGGATTGCTTGTCGATCGATTTGATTAATTAAATCTTACAAAACTAATTTTCTATTAAATAATTAATTGTAATTATTTTAATATTAATTATTAATAGAAATAAGAGTATGTTTCAGATTTTAATTCGATATTCAATATAAAATAGAAACTATAATTTCACAATAAAAAAAATCATTCAAGCATTTCAACTTCTAACATCCCTTATAACGACATTTCAGTTTGTATTGTTACCGTCGTCCGAATAATAATATACCGGATAAGCTCTGGTTCATTTCTGTTTAGTTAAATACAAGTTTTTACGAACGATACGTTTCGTACAGCCTGGAGGCACTCGGCTACACTCGGCACCACTCGGCTACACTCGGCTATACTCGGTTACACTCGGCTATACTCGGCTATACTCGGCTATACTCGGCTACACTCGGCTACACTCGGCTACACTCGGCTACACTCGGCTACACTCGGCTACACTCGGCTACACTCGGCAATACTCGGCTGCAGTCGGCGGGTACGTACCTCATCCAGTGCTGCGAGGAGTTGTGCGAGGGCGCGCTGGGCGCGTGGCTGTGCGTCGCCACCCGCTGCACGATCTACACAGACGGACAACAAGCGACGTTTAATTGGATTACTTTAATGAGCTATGGGAACTTCAAGACTTCCAATTAATTTGTGAAGGGTCACACGTATCAAGGACTGATGACGATATATACAAAAATAATTAGAGCGTTGTTTTTTTTGTTTGAAACTATGTTTACTTATTGTGTATGTTTTCAGAAGTTTCTTAGCGGAGCGCATGTCTTGGAGCGCTTTCAGAAAGCAAACCCACGGTCGTTAGCGTCACAACTACCGAGCCCCTTGATCTATCCGCCGAGACGGCCCCACCAACTCATATTTTCGGGACAGCCTGCGAGTTCAACACTACGAGGGTCGGAGAATGGAGTCAACCGGTTGCTGTTTCGTATGATGCGTATAGCACAATTAACATAACATTTCCTTAGATATACTTCTCTAATCCCCAAACTGACATCGGAGGAAACCTACAACACTTAGGGAACCAGGATATAGCGAAATCCCTATTCCGGTCCCCACTTCGACAGCGAAAAGTTAGTGTAATGAGAAGAGCGGTCTCTCTCACACCCCGCTGCCTGCAAAATTGTGCAATCGCAAAAGTCGGCGGCACGAGTCGGCACTGACATCGCGTCAAAACTGTATAATCTCAAAACTTACAAATTTTACAGGAGAGTGTTATAACGGTTTAACATGTGATATTTTTACTATTAATTATCTTTGCAACATTTATTTTTTATTTTATTTCTTACCAGTTGCATTATCTGTTTTTTATACTACATTAAGATAAAATTATGTATTAATTTTGTAATAGCAATCAAGATATAGGTAAACTATTAAAAAAAAACTGAAACTAAACTACGCTCTTTTGACAGTATTTATGAGAAAAATACTGGTGATACCAAATGATTCCGTATATTAACTCAATTTCGAATATTTTTGGAAATTGTACTTTTAATGCGAAAAGACGATATGTGCGACGAGGACACGCGTCCCTCCCCCCCGGTCGGTGCGGGTGCGCTCGGTCCCCCCCAACCCCCGGGTACCCGCGGCCAGTACCTGCTTATTTTTTTTTTCCTACCTAAGCTGATAGCCTTGAGAGGCTATATCAGCGTCGCCTTAACTAGTAGGTGAGCTCACGGGGCTCAAACCTGATGACGTTGCTAACACGAACCCTAGCAAGAGCCGCGCTTCGCAGAATCTACCGCCGGATCGGAAACGTGATCCACTGAGAAGATCCGGCGAGAAACTCAGTGGGCTGCGTCTGAGGGTTAATTTATTCAGTACCTGCTGCACGAAGGCGCGCGTGAGGTGCGGCGCGTGCCTCTCCGCGAGCTCGAAGGCGCGCCGCAGCTCGTCCACCGCGCTGGCCGCGCCCGCTCCCTTCCCGCGGGACACCTGCACCGAAACAACGACATACATTTAGTCCACCAGTGTTCTTGTTTATACACATATTATTTTCATTTAACGAAACTAGTGGTCCCGCAGTAGTCGAAATTTGACTATAAATTTATTGAAATTTTAAGGTTAAACATTATTATGGTTCTATTGTCAAAGACTATTCTATAATCACAGATTTTGTCAAGACTGTACTATAGACAAACAATATTAACCTATTCTCAATTTAATCACAGACTTTAAGCGATAACAAAAGTTTGACAGTAAAAGAATATATTTAAGTGTGCGTGTGTCAAGTACATGATAGTGTGTGTGATGTTTTTTGTTGATTTAATGTATTATTAAGGCATAATTTTACAAAAATATTAGCATTTTGCACTCCTTCTCTATAATCTCTATAAATGTAGAAAATATCATACACCTCCGGCCGCGCAATTTCGAATCGGTACAAAGTTTAATATCTAACATTACGAGCACTATATAAACACGTTTTTGGTACATTACTTCTCACACACACACCTTTATAATGATGTTACATTATTTTGTATACAAATGAATACAGAGGGAAACACAAAACAGTACCATAATCATGTGTTTGTTAATCGATTTTCTTTTATTTTGTTTAGTTAGTATCTACTTATTTATCAACTTTATCTGCAAAACGTCATTAATTGAAACAATTAGTAAAATGTAGAGCGAAGATGAGATTCGTAATAAATGAATACCATGCATATATGTATTTAAGGTAATTTCAAGGTCGCCCATGAATAACACATTGAAATATTCTCAACAGTTTATGACTCAAAATTGTTTTTTTGCATCGCACCTTTTTACTCATGCTGTATTCCTAAGAAATTACGTTAAGGTTGGTCACTCTGAATGGTTTTACTAATGAATGAGACAAGTTATCTCTTAGACGTATTAATTGAAAAGGTGATCACCGACCATACAAAATCAATTATTAACGAATTAGAATAAGGGAAACGCAATGACGCGTTACCAGAATTAATGCCTACTATTTGACTAAAATTACAGGGTGTTAAAATTAAATATTGGTTACAATTTTTTTTTTAAATATGAATTTATTTGAAACTATTTTTTTAAGTTCATTAATTTCATGTTTTAAAGTATTTACAGAGACCAATAGAAGCTATGTTTACACCTATACTAATTTAAAAATCTACAGTGGATTTTACGGATGTTCCGTTATAATTACTGAATCGTACATCCGATTGACTTGAAACTTGGTATCCATGTAGGAAATACATGTACATAATGGATAGGCTAATATTTATATGAGTGTTGGACTCCCTACACCAGTTGCGGGGACGTTAATGATGAGAATCTTTGGGGGGTGAGAAATAATAATGTTAATTTTAAATGCCCAGCGAAGCGGATGGGTACAGCTAGATTATTATAAAATCTTTTTCCGCACCCTGTGTTTTACGAATACAAATCTTGTGGTGACAGTGATTAGGGTCGAATTTCGATCGTTTAGACGTACGATATAATTAAAGTTCACTGACCTCGTTCAGCAGCGGATAAATGAGTTGCTGCAGATAAGGGTGTCTCCTTACTTTGTTCTCCTCGTTTGCTCCTCTGTGGTCGAGAGGTGAAGACTGAAAATAAAACAGAAAATAAATCACTTCTCTATAAGACTAGCTGACCCAGCAGACTTCGTAGCGCCTCAATCGATAAATAAAAGACGTAAGCTTTTGTATAATATATAGAAAACAAACAAAAAGAATCCGTCCGACGGGGGACACATCAAAGGAAAAGCAAAATTGCTATTTTTATTTAATTCCGAGCATTTTTATATTTATCTACCGTTTAAACCTTCTCTGGACTTCCACAAATAATTCAAAACCAAAATTAGCCAAATCGGTCCAGCCGTTCTCGAGTTTTAGCGAGACTAACGAACAGCAATTCATTTTTATATATATATAAGATAGAAGATAGATGTTGGCAACATTCGTATGTTCCAATAAGACCTTTTCGAACTGTGCTACGTGGGTAAACAGTTCTCTTATCGACGTAGACAACAACTACATTAGCTATTAGGCCAGTCTCCAAATGTAGTCATTATCAATAATAATTAAGATAAGTTTTTAATTGAATTCTAAATTACACAACGTTTTTTTTTAATGTTTGAAAGATTACTGGTGGCCCGGAGGCCTTTCCAGTTTTACCAGGACAGGTTTGACATTACGATTTTTTGTTATTTCAAACAATAAACTGTCACCATTTATTTAGCATAGATCAAGCTAAAATCTTATTAAGTTTTAAGCAATGAAAGTTTATTTGGACATTTATGAGGGTATCTCATAAAAAACGTTGAATGAATTTAAATAAATTTTGCAATGCTTATTTTATATGGGCAGGTGTTAATTCTAGGATATGATTCATGATCCGGGCAATACTGGATAAAACGGGTATAATAACCACCACAGTATGTCCGCTAGTTCCTTACTTTACTTAGGACCTACAAATAGAGTGGTAGTTTCTGAAGAGAGCGAGACCAGCAACTTTTTACCAGGGTATTTTTATTTTTTATTTTTAATAACAAATTGAACTCAGGCTAAGCCATGGTTCACGTTTCAAATAGCTAATCTGTAATAAAGATTCGTATCGAATCCTGACTTCGGGGGATTTTTTTTTATTGCTTAGATGGGTGGACGAACTCACAGCCCACCCGGTGTTATGTGGTTACTGGAGCCTATAGACATCTACGACGTAAATGCGCCACCCACCTTGAGATATAAGTTCTAAGGTCTCAAGTATAGTTACAACGGCTGCCCCTACCCTTCAAACCGAAACACATTACTGCTTCACGGCATAAATATGCGGGGTGGTGGTACCTACCCGCGCAGACTCGCAAGAGGTCCTACCACCAGAAAAGAATCGAATAGTTCATATAACTCACAGTATTGTTGTAGACAACGCTGTCCCTGTTCGAGTTCTGATGTTCCTGTCTGTCCGTTCGCTCCCGGTCGGTCCGCTCTCGGTCGCGCTCCCTCGTCCCTCTCTGTTCTGAATTCACTTGGGCATTTGACGTTTGTCTCGCCTGTAAATGTTTTTTTTTTTAATATCAACTCTAAGCAAAACTTATATTGTTATATTGAGGGGTGAAATGCTATTTGGTTTATGCGATCTTTCGCTTAACACGCGACATTTAGTACAACATTCGATGTTTTCAATTGAACTTCAATTTTGTTTACCGCATTCAAATAGCTGAAGTTATTTTCTTAGGATAATTTTTCCTTACACAAAATTTAAATGGAATCTCCTGTTAAGAAGCAAAAGTGTCGCTTATACCATATACTTAGCCTTTCCCATTTTCATCGATATGTGATTTTTATTTATTTCATTTATTATTTATTTCATTCGACTACGACGGGGCAACTCAAAGCCGCCGTCGCCCGAGACATAACTGTCAGATCCCCCGGATTCACTCTCGGTACTTTTAGGACCCTCAAACACCGGTCACCATCCTCGTCGAAATCGTCCATTTCGACGAGCGAACTAACCCATAGACACAGCCACTGATTTTCTCGCTGGATCTTCTCAGTGTCTCGCGATTCCGATCCGGTGGTAGATTCTGCGACGCACTGCTCTTGCTAGGGCTAGTGTTAGCAAATTCTTTCAGGTTGAGCCCGTGAGCTCACCTACCCGTCCGGACGTAGCTGGAATAGCCTCTTAGGTTTTTTTTTATAGTTTAGATGGGTGGACGAGCTCACAGCCCACCTGGTATTAAGTGGTTATTGGAGCCCATATACATCTACAATGTAAATGCGCTACCCACCTTGAGATATACGTTATAAAGTCTCAAATATAGTTACAACGGCTCCGCCACCCTTCAAACCGAAACGCATTACTGCCTTACGGCAGAAATAGGCAGAACGGTGGTACCCACCCGCGCGGACTCACAAGAGGTCCTACCACCAGTTAACCACCTACCTATTGCGAATAGGTAGGCAAAAAAGTTATTCTTATTTGAGGATGAAGCGTTACCGTGTGTTTCTCGTTAGTGTTGTTGTTGAGTGGCAGGTGCGGCTCGTGGACAACTGGCTCGGCCCCGTTCTGCTTGCTGGCGCCGCCGCTCACTCCGACGATCGCTGTCGAAACGTGTATCTTATTATTACGTGACCAATAATAACATTGTAACTACTTTACTTGAACTTTTTTTTAAGGGATTTTATGACCTGGTAACTAAAACCTTTAGGTCAAGTCTTATTTTAATTTTAATGAAAACTTTTTTTTAGGTAAAAGATATTATGAAATGAGATGAGATGATATTGTGGACTTAGACGACGAAAGAAAGGTCTTCCAACGAGCGGTAGACCGACAGTCCAAATGTTGTCGTTCGGAACTTGTATATATGGAAACTTAACTTGAAAATGTCATAAGCGAGATTCAGGCATCTGTCAAATATCTTGTATTGTATAATGGATATCCGCCACAATATGGGATGAAATATAGTCTCAGTAAAATGGTAGTCATTTACTAAGACTTTTTCAGTGAACTTTTTGGAGGATCCCGAGAAGTTACGTTCAGCAGCTTTGTTTAATTTTCCCACATTTGTGCCCTTTCACAGATATTAAACAGTTAATAAACCACCGTTATTACACATTTAAACCCGAAGAAACACTAAATAGACAAAATAAAACAAATCACACAACTTCACTCCTCGCGTTGCTGCCAAAAAGTCCTTTCAATTGTACGTTATTAGAAATTTCATAATGGTGTTATAGAAATGTAGGATTGGTAAGAATGAGATGAACGTATAGAAAGAGTGTGGAACGGAACGTTAACATGTGAGTGAGAGAAAACCTTAAGAAAGAGAAAAGCAAGATGGCAAAGACGATTGATGAGCAAGGCGTTAATAATGTGTCAATTAATTCTTAATTATTATAATAAAGATTTGGAAAATCTACAGATATTTGGAAAACCTGTGTGGATATATGTTTCAGTGTTAAGTATGGATGTAAGTGTTTGAATGTGTATATGTATAAGTATGTGTATGTGTATGTGTGTGTTAGTGTTAGTGTCCTAATATCGTTGTTCGGAGCTTCTATATACATAGTACACAGCTTATCTAGAAAATGTCTTAAGCGAGATTCAGGCATCCGTCAAATAATTTATGTTCTATGACGGCTACCGGCACAACTACATCGATGATGTCCTCCTTTTTATTTCGTCAAAGTTGGTAGTTTTTTTTCTTCTTTCTATTTATTGTATTCATTCGAAATTATTGTACTATTTACGTTTATGTATTTGTTAAATATTAACCTTGTACGTTCATTCAAACACGAAAATGATTAGTTTGCGAAATCAGTGTTTGGGTGTGTGTTGTGTGTGAAGTTTTTTTTTATTTGCCTCAAAACTGCGCAAACTTATTTCAATTAATTCATTGCGACTGTTCATATTTCAAATTGACCCTTAAGATTTCATCGAACACTCAAAAGGTTCCGTCGCCTAATGAGTAAGACGCCCGTCTTTATATCGAAGTAGTGTTGTGGCCATATTTGCATGTGTGTGTGTGTGTGTGTTGTGTGTGTGTGTGTGTTGTGTGTGTGCGTGTGTGTGTGTGTTTCTGTGTTTGGGCGTGAGTGTGTTTGGGTGTGTGTGTGTGTGTGTGTGTGTGTGTGTGTGTGTGTGTGTGGGTGTGTGTGTGTGTGGGTGTGTGTTTGTGTGTGTGTGTGTGTGTGTGTGGGTGTGTGTGTGTGTG